CCAAGAGAGAGAAAGAGAGAAACAATCAGACAGACAGATTACACCTACACACACACACACAGAGAGAGAGAGAGAGAGAGAGAGAGAGAGAGAGAGAGAGAGAGGAGAGAGAGAGAGGAGAGAGAGGAGAGAGAGAGAGAGAGGAGAGAGAAGAAAGAGAGGAGAGAGAGAGAGAGAGAGAGGAGGAGAGGGGGGTAGGGAGGGAGAGAAGGGAGAGAGAGAGAAGAGGAGAGAGAGAGAGAGAGAGAAAGAGAGAGAGAGGAGAAGAGAGAGAGAGAGAGAGAGATGAGAGAGAGAGAGAGAGAGAGAGAGAGAGAGAGAGGAGAGAGAGAGAGAAGAGAGAAGAGAGAGACGAGAGACGGAGAGAGATCGAGAGAGCAGCCGAGAGAGAGAGAGAGAGAGAGAGAGAGAGAGAGAGAGAGAGAGAAATAAGCAGAAAGAAGTGCGCATTTCCCTCCGTGTGAGCGCCTGAAGCAGCAAATATTCCCAAAAGTAAGTCCACATAAGAACCCAGTTATGACGAGTAGCCTCACATACCAAAATTTATTCAACCAAACGCATACCTGCCCACCTTCCTACCCCCCCCCTACCCCCTCCATACTATTCTTGCATTATAGGTATTGCTCTTCACCCCCTCCCCCCCCATCCCCCTCTTTCCTCTTCTTCCCCCTCTTACCTACCTTTACCCTCACCCTCCCTACCCTCTCCCTCCTCACTTCCCCTCCTACCTTCCCTTCCCCTCATCCTCACCCCTTCCTACCCCTACCCCCCCCCCCCCGCTGACGCCTTACCTCACTCACGAGTCCAGGTGCCCGCTCCCCTTCCCGCGGGGGGGGGGGGAGTTACTTGAAGTACACAGGTATACACTTATACATGTGCACCCGCATACAAATATACATGAGTACACTCATATATATGTAGACACGCATACACATGTGCACACAAATATACAAGTGCACACTCATATACATGTGCATACATACACATGTTCACGTACATTCACATGCACACATATATGCATGTGCACACATATACACATGTGCACACACAATCACGCGTATCTATGTGTAGATTTACACACATATAAATATATACACACACGCATATGCACATTCACATACACACATGCACAGACATGTGCATTTGCACTACACATACAGGTTCACATAAGCACAGGCAAGTACACCCAATTTGCGTGTGTAATAAGAACAGGACACTCATACATGTACACATACAACAAAATCTCTGCACCATACACATATACACCGTGTATGTTTGAAAACGTCACATACACGCACACAAACAAATCACTTTATCCACTTGTATTTGTGTGCGTCTGTATGCGCCTGGGGTGTCAATGTGTGAATCTATATGCGTACACACACACGTATATGTGCGTGGCTTTCTGTGTGTGTGTGTGCACGTACGTAAGGAGGTTACACACACACCCGACCGCACTTCCAAACACATCTGTTTCTCGGGTAACGGCCCAGGAAATATTAGGTGGCCCGAGTTAAGCAACGCTCCCCGGCCGCCGGTTTGTGCTCCTGTATTGGCGCTGGATTCGGAATGCAGACTTTTTTTTCTCTCTCTTTCTTTTTGTGTGTGTGTTGGTCTTGCTCAATGTGCGGGTTTACGAAAGAGGGTTAAGGAGAGGTGGATGATAATGGCTGGGGGAAGGAGTGGGACGATTAGGGAGGTTGGAAAGAGGGAGATGTGATTTAGAGAAAGGGGGTGGATAGTAGGAAGGAGGAAAGGAAGGGTGAGCGATAAGGCACGAGAGAAGAGGAAAGAGAGAGAGGAGAGAGAATGAGAGAAAGAGAGAGAGAAGAAATTAACAGAATTCTTTACAAAATAAGATTTGTTATTTTCACTCATCCTCTTCCTCTTTCTCCACCTTTTGCTTGTTCTCTACCTCCTTCTTTCCTTCTTCCGCTTCCCACTCTTCCTTTTCCACCCCCTCCCCTCTCTCGCTCTGTCCCTCCACCTCCTCCTCCTTCGTAAAAAAAGGTTCCGGTCATGAATTAAATAAACGGCATTAAATTCGACGTCTATGCAGTAACGACCCCGAAGCCTCGACGGTTTCGAAATAGCGTGAAAGGGATTCGAATCCGTTATTAATGATGTTCACGGTACTTATGACGCGAGCGAAGGAATCGATGTTTTTGCTGCTGTTTCTTGCTTTGCGCCTCCCGCTTGCGCCCATGGCCATGTGTGTGTGTGTGTGTTATATATATATATATATATAATATATATATATATATATATATATATATATATATATATATATATATAATTTATATATATTATATATATAAATTATATATATATATATATATATATATATATATATATATATATATACGCAAATATATGTTT